ATTGTAATCCCCAAGTGTAGATCAGGTAGGCGAATGTTTAAAAAGCCAAAACCATCAGGATACAGCCTGGGCTCCTCAGTGATTTGGCTAATAAATTTACTGATCCACTTATAAATTCTGAAAAATAATGGTAGTGAAAAAAATCATAATGACATAAAAAAAAAAAGATGCTATTGAAGGGACACTAACCTCAAATTCTGGGGAGAATTTTTTTTGAACACTTTAAAGCAGACCTGGGTAATACATCTGCCCTGAGTTCTCATACAGATTTTTAAGGGTTTTATGTCATTTTCATATTTTGAAAACTTTCCTCTCGTTTTTGCAGTGTAGAAGATTCTTAGAGTGGAATCTAGCTATACATGGAAACAATGATACCTACTATATAAAAAGTGCAGGTAGTTGCATAAAATAATACTGTCCCAGAGGGTCGATAAGAAAGGGGTGGGAGACCCCTCCCTTGGCATGGGTCGCAATGGAGACAGCCTGCCACGATGCTGAGAAGAAAAGCCCTGATAACAGGCAAACTTACCACCCGCAGGCACAGCCGGGCTGGATGAGCCCCAGAGGGGCAGAGTGCCTGTGCAATTCATCAGCTGCTTTTCTCTGCGACTGGGGCTGGCGTGCCCCCATGATGTCATTGAGGAACACCGTATGAACACCATAAGCTGGGGACAGGAAAGCAGCAGGGGGGCAGCTGTGGGACCACTGAGCCAAATGAAGACCCCGGACACGGCCAAGGAGGGGCTGAAGAGGGACCCAGCCAGAGGGTCCAAGGCCTGATTTAAAGGGTCACATCACCCTGGATGGTGAGGGAGTCAGGAGGAGAACACCGAGAGACAGCAAAGCCGGCAAACACAGGACGTGGGAGTGGGAGTGGGCAGAGGCCCCTCCCTGGAATTGTGGTTCTTTAGTTGTATTTGAGTTACCTTGAACCCCCCCGGGTCAGAGGGGAGGCCATAGGGCAGATGCCAAGGGTGAGCAAGCCCGGGCCGCTCAAAAGAGCCCAACGCCGAAAGGCTAGGCCCACCAGTGAGGTCATTGCGCTGCCTGGGCAAACCTGGGCGGTGGGAAGAAAGACTTGTGAGCACCGAGGGCCAGAGAGGCAGAGAGGGAGGGGGATACCACAACAAGGCGGAGCCGAATCGCCCATCATTCAGCAGCGCTGATAGGCTGGTGCATGACTGGTGTGTAGGGGAGGTGGAGCCCCAAGAATGATCTCTCATGTCAATGTCTGATGCATTCTGCACGAAGGAAGGAAGCCCTACTACTGAACAGAACACCCAAGATGAGGCAGACACCCAAGACCAGGGTATTCCCTATGGAGAACGTGACACCACGTCACGACAACCAGAGCCATCTGCGCGACATACCCTAGCGTGTGTTCCAGGGCCTCATGGGAGAGGCTCCATGAAGTTAGGCGGGCACAAGTACATATGTAATAATTTTCACTTATAACCTTGGACACTGCCTGTATCAGTAGTTACAAAAAATATTGTGTGGGCTTTTTTTCCCCTCAGCTTTATAAAGGTCATCTTCAAAGGATAAGGCACTATTTCTGTAGAACCATAATTTGATCATGTTATACTGTTGTTCCATATGGAGGAAACCCTTGCCCCCTCCTCCCCCCTTAATCTCATGTAACAGTTGTGGGAGGGTGGAGGAAATAGAAAAGTCTATTAAACTTGCTTCATTGTAAGTTCTGTCAAATGTTCTAGGTAGGGATAAGAAGGTTGTGTGCTGGCATGTGCAAAAACACAAGTGTCACCTGAGTTATTAAAATAGAATCTCTTCCTAAAGGTATGTAGTGTGTGACAGTGGTGTGTGTATTATGTTGCAGTTGTATCTGTGGTCACCATTCATTTTTGTGCTAGAGTGCTTATTTGATGAAGGTGGTTAGGCACATCACTTTTTGTTATCTCTTAGAGATGGAAGCAAAGGTATTATTCACAGAGTTTTGGAGGGCATTAGTGGCATAGATTATGTGAAAGTGGTTACACTTTTTTCAAGTTATGCTCACTTTGAAGTATGGTGGAATCAGAAAAGTAGTATGGGTTTATAAGTCTAGTCATAAGCTTGCTTTGTTACAGAATTGCAAAACTAATGTTTGAAGGTATGTTTGTATTTTAATAAAGGATATAATATTCAAATTCATTTTTCAAGTAGACTTGAAGATCATCTTGGATTATGCAGGAAGTATTAATAAACAGTAATGTGAAACAGGATTGTACTGTGTTGGGGAATGTAATCTGATACTAGGAGAATCTTTTAAGTTTCATTTTATTTGTTTGCAGTAATCAACTCAGAGTGAGTAAATTGTGTTTAGAAAACAACTTTCAGGTAAAATTAGTATTAGCTCTGATGTAATATGTCTAAATGTTGTTATACTTAAGTAATCTAATATAGCAGAATATTTTTGTGTACTTCATAAATAAGTCTTCTCCATAGTGAATATACGCACTTTCCCATTATAATTGATCCACTGACTCCTTTTTTTCATTTTATGAACAAAGAAGGTGAACAGAAAATCCTTAAATGTAGTCAATAAACTTTAAAAAATCAGGATTTAATATCAGGATGGATTTAATAAAAGTGAACTTTTAAAAAAAAGTTAAAGTTGATAGTATCTCGTTACAATGGGAGGAACTGTTGTCACTAGTTGGAACACCAGCACAATATAAATTATTTATGCAGATGGGAATACAAACAGAACACAGTTAAGTATTTTATGCTGAATATCAATATGATGCATAGGTAAACAATCCATAAACAAAGAATTAAATAGAAGGGAGAAATTTGGACAAGAGTAGTATTGAAATGAATGATGGTGGCTAGCAAATGAGGCTTAAGTATTCAGTTTATTTTGGCAGCCAGAAGAGCCAGTGATTGAACTGAATACATGACAGTCCTCTTCATAGTTTCATTGCAGCTGTGCACAGATCTGTGGGGAACCCCAAAGGCTGGATGACAAGGTGCAGGCAGGCTGGACCTGTCCCACAGGCTAGGGGTTGAGTACCTCTGAGTTATTACTTAATGAACATAACTGCATGGTATCATGGATTTTTAAAAACTTTTTAAATACGTGTTTGCTATCTTAATGGACTGATTTTTTTGAACATTTTGCAGGAGTACTGGAGCTTAATAGAAGGGAGCGGAATGAAAAAAATTTAGTGGCAAGTGCCTGAAAAACTTTGCAGCATTAGAGAGGCAGTATGGAAAGTTACAAGGTGGTTGAGAGACTTGGTAGATAAAAGGGGCATCTAGAATCCTGTCACTGTTTAGAGTTTTGGCAATGATGCATAAAACAAGATTGAGAAAGTAGAGGGGGTCAGTGATGGGTCATCATCAGAAATGAATGGGTAAGGCCTAGAGCTGCATTGATAGATCGTTCTGATACCTGATTGGTACCGATCTAAAGAAAATTTGCTATATCGGATATCGGCCTGATGGGGCCGATAATTTGGCCAATAAATGCTCGTGCTGTGCGCAGCTGCAGTGCAGCACTCAGGCAGTGAGGAGCAGAGCTGGCAGCATGGAGAGCTGCCTCCAGCTGTTTAGTTCGGTGTGGTAGAAGGGAGGGAGAGGGAAGGTGTGTGGGGGGAGTAGATCAATGCCCCCTGTGGTGAGGGAGGGGCAGGGGCAGGCGCTTCCCAGGTGGGATGGGCATGTTGGGGAGTTGGCTCCTGCCGCTGTGTATGCCCCCCGGATCTGCGCAAGGTGGGGCAGAGTGGGCTGCAGCCGGGGCTGCACAGGGCTCTTGTCTGGCAGGGCTGGGCTCAGAGTGGGCACTGGCAGTGCTGGGAGGATGCTGCATCCACCCCAGATTTCACTGCCACTCCATTCCTAGCGGCACCGCTAGGAGCGGAGCAGCAGCAAAATTTGGGGTGGATGCAGCATCCTCCCAGCGCCTCTGCTGCCCACTCTGAGCCCAGCCCTCCTGAGAAGAGCCCTGCACAGTGCTGGCTGCAGCCCGCCCTGCGCAGCTCTGGGGGGCACACACCTCCGCTGTGCCCTCCCAGGGTGCAAGCAGCAGCAGGAGCTGCCACTCTCTACCCGGCTGCAGTGCCCCACCCCGCTCCCCTTGCCTGGGCAGCGCCTGCCCCTACGCCCTCCCTCACCACAGGGGACATTGATCTTCCCCCACGTCCCTTCCCAACCCCAGCCCCTTCCACCACACTGGACTTAGAGCTGGAGGCAGCTGTATTGGAAATCGGATCGGTATTGGCCTCAAAAATATCTATCGATACACCCCTAGGAAGGCCTAAACAAGATTCCAAGACATCTCATTAACTGAATCTAACTTATATATGCAGATATGCTTATAGATTTTGTAGATTTCTAGGGTTAGAAGGGACCTATTAGATCATTAAGTCTGACTCCTTGCTCTGGGCAGGAAAGAACTCTGGGGTCAAGTGACCCCAGCCAGGTGCTTGTCCGATCTCCTCTTGAACACCTTCAAGGTAGGGGAAAGCACCACCTCCCTTGGAATTCCATTCCATATTTTGGCAACCCTCACTGTAAAGAATTTCTTCCTGATATCCAATCTAAATCTACTCTCCTTCAGTTTATGGCTGGCCTGGTAAACAGAGTATCCCCTTATTTGCTCAAGAAAGCAGGTGATAGACACTCTACAAACAACGTATGAAAGTTGAACCTCCTGTTCAATAGCGGCTTTAGAGAATACTGCATTGGTAATTTTTGCTAGAATTCAAATTAGTCTAATGTCATAATCCTCAGTCAATCTTTTGAAATACTAAATGGATATATTCATTTGGAGGAATGAAACAGAAATTCTCATCTGTTTCATCTGATTCTCATTCTTGCATCTAGATACCAAGTGTGGGGAAGGAAGATCATGCCTTCTACCTATTGATGGTTCACATTGCTAGGGATATGATTGGGGAGATGCAAGGAAGGAAGGGTTTAGAGGTATAAGTAGACGTTAAAGAGAGGAGATCGGAAAGAAAACTGTTTATACTGACTTGCTATTTTTTTATTTGCAGACAGAGACAGGGGAGATGAGTAGAAATACTGAACTGAAGAAGCTGCAGATCTTTGGAGCTGGACCTAAGATGATGGGATTGGCGTTGGGATCAAAAGATAAGGAAGGTAAGTAAGTCTCTGTTGCTGTTGTAAGGTGGGAAGGACTAGTTAGTCTGAAACAGTCCATTGAAACAGACCTCTGCTGTCTCCAGACACAAGTGGAAAGAGATTAAAGTGGGGCAACTGTAACAGGGCAAAGGAAGTTAAAACTTTTTTTTTTTTTGAGGAAGATAATGAAACCCAGGTGACCTAACTGGTTCTGTAGGATTGTTCCACTGTCTTGATATTGATTTAGGTCTTCATATGGTTAAAAGTGAGCATTAAGCATCTGCTGCACAAATTAATTGCAAATAAACAGGATTAGAAAAGTGGTGCATTAATTTTAAGAGCATTCATTTTTGCTGAGCGCATGGTGTGAGAGTATTGCAATATGTTTCATGGGGTGACTTGATCACTTGTTAAGATCAGCAAGAGAAGTTTTACCCTTCCTCAGTTACACAGCTTTGGTGCAAATTATCCAGGTGCAGCAACCCATTCTTGTTTTTCTTGGAAGCATTGGATAGTCTTTGCTGCTAGAGGCAGGATATTACATGATCTTTGTGCTATGTTTAATTACATGACACTCTCTTTGCTCCAAGATGAGGTGACTCGAAGACGCAAAGGCACCAGGTCAGAAGCCTTTGGCATGCAGATGAGGCAACGCAAAGGGACGCTCTCTGTCAACTTTGTAAGTTTAGTTTCTTTGCTTTTAAGTAGGCAAGCATAGGAAACTTAGCTATTTTACCTTCATGTGCCTTAAATTACTATACCTGAACACACAAGTTGCACTTAAGTGCCATTTTTTACACTTGCATAGTTTTTTTGGTTCAGTTTCCAGTGGCATTACTATATTTGCCCTGTGTTTCCCTTTTGATTATGCTCAGGAGTCTCCAGTATGGCCTTACATGGTCTGTGGCAGAATAGGATTGTGTGGGTAGGTTCATTAACTGTGTTAGTGTGGCTGGAGAAAAACTGTGTCTAGGAACTGTTTAATTCAGGAGGAGGAAAAGGTGGAGGAAACCCTGCCCGCCCATTTGGTTTGATTTGATTTGATTTGATTTTTTAGCTCGGTAACTCCATTCCAGGGTATGTGAGACCCACACTTAGATCTGTCTTGCTCAGCGTGGGCTTCGAATCTTCATCTTCTGCCTTACAGCAAAGTGCTCTAACTGCCAGCAATGGGTTAGGCTGGGGGTGGCCACCTCTGACAAGGGTGCCACAACTGGCATGGGCAGCATCTGTGTGTAGCACAGTGGCAGATCCTGAAGGGGACAGGCAGCAAAACAGGGCAGAAAGCAGAAGGCAGAGCAGGAGATCAGGCAGGGAGTACAGGGCAGGGAACAGAGTAGAAAGCAAAGCAACAGATCAGACAGGGGAAGGGGATTGGAATATCACTCAGGGTGGGTGTGGGCCTGTGGCGCACCTGCCAAAAAGGTTGGCCCTCCATGGGCCAGACATTGCTTAGAGGACCCTCTTGAAGCTAGCCCAGTGAACAGCCAAGAGGGGAAGATGTGGGGCCAGGAAAAGAGCAAGCCAGAGGGAAGAGCCCTTCAGTGAGAGGCCTATCACCCTGGAGTGTAGGGGCCCTGGTTCTGGCTTCCTCTCCAGCCCCTGCTCCCAGTGGCTTTTGTACACCTTGCATTTAATATGCTCTGCAAAAAAATGGATAAGCAGTAGTGGCATAGCTTCTGTCCCAGAGTGTGCTGGGGCCAGAACCTGTGGCCCGGTCCTGTAGCATTATGGGAATATTCAGAGGTGTTCTGATCTTGTGCTAAGGGGGAATGCCATGCAAGTACCAAGGAAGTATCAATTGCAGAAACCAGAGGATTATCTGTCTCTAAAATTACCATTTTGAGTTTTAACTTCTTATTTTGTAAGCTGTCCAGGTAAAACATAAAGGAAAGCTTTCAAGGAAAGAAATAAGATCTGTATAGCTTTCTGATACTTGAATATAGGAAAACAGTTATCTAGTTGCTTTTATGTTCTTGGAGAACTCAAGGGCTTGTTTTTAACCTGCTGCACTTGGCTTGTGTACTACAGTGCTGAATAGGGATTTGTACTTCTAACATATTAGAAAAAATAAGGTTTAGGGACTGTTCAAAGCAGCACCCTGAATACGCAAAATGCATTATTTTTTTCTTAGCTTCAGAAAATATTTCCAAAGTGTATTGTGACTAATTTAGACTTTAGTCATCGAGGGCAAAAACTGCCTTTAAGAGAAATGCTAGTAATCTTTTAGATGGTAAAATGCCTCCTGGGATAAATTATAAGAGGCACAAACTGCAAATTTGCAGCAATAGATGGATGCTTGAAAGCAGACAACCATACTAGTATGAATAAGCTTGAGCTTGCCTGAATTTAAAAACTAAAAAACCTTGCGTTTTATTGGTACAGTAAAAGCTCTGTTATCCAGCATCCACCGGGAATGGGGGATGCCAGATAACAAAATATGCCGGTTAATTGAGCAGCCCAAACAGGCATCCTTGGCTGTTCGGGCCACCCCTTCTCCCGCCGCATCTGGGGTGGTGCTGCCCTTCCCACAGCATTGCCGACCCTTCTCTGGACCCTGTGGGACAGGGAGGCGGGCCCCATGCAGCCTGTTATGCCTCTGGGCCGTGGGGGCTCGGCAGCGTAGGCTGCTTTGCCCTGGGGGCTCAGAGAAACCAGAAGTTCCACGGTGGGCCCTTCTGGTTTCACTTTACCTTACAAGCCGACATGCTGATTAACAGAGCATGCTGGCTTGTAAGGTGCCAGTTAACGGAACTTTTACTGTATTTAGATGGCTTATTGCTCTAGAATATATGGTATTGCTAGGCTCTCTAAGTTCCTCAACTTGAAATTATGTTTTACAAAAGATTGAATTTTAAATTTACTTTTTTTTTTTGCTTTGGGCAAGTCATTTTGTTGATTACTTAAGCAGGAGAGCTGAGATTTTGATCCCTGTTTGTATTCTCTCTCATTTTTGGGAGACAAATTAATATAGCTACAGATCATTTCCTTGCAGTTGTATTACTGTGCCTGTGATCTTGTGAAATTCCATAAGTGAATCCCAGTGGGGCCTGTGTAGTACTTAAGAGATCTCCAAGACACTGGTCTTGTACAATTGTTCTTTGAAGAATATCATGCTGTAGTTCTGTTTCTTTTTCTCAACTCCTATATTGTAGCTTCGGTTGAAAGGATAATACTATACAAACAATCAATACAAATGCAGTAGGGTCAAGATCTTAATTGCATAAAAGTCGGGTAACTTTTGTGGTTACAGCAGCAACCAAAAATCTCCTCCTTTGTGTATGTATTGCATTATGATTTTGACATTTGATCATGCATTATCTATGTTATAATACAAAGTACTGCGTGTGTACGTCTAAGGTTAAAGAGGAAAGAGCATTGCCTTCAGATCATACTGATTGCTTGGTAACTAGTAAATGTTTCAAAACAGTTTCAATTATAATCTTTTTTTACCCGTTTCAGTCCTGAAAATGTCACTTGTTTGGATGGTGCTTTCCATGCATGGTTTCTGCCATGTCAGTTTTCTTTAAAGTATGACTGACTTCCATTAAGTAACTTGAAGGAAATTGCAGGGGTTTAGGTTGTAGCCATGTTGGTCTAAGGATATAGGCAGACAAGGTTCCTTGGGTGAATTTGATATCTTTTATTAGACCAACCCAAATGGTTGGAGAATAGTTATTAAGCAAGCTTTCGGGTTCAAAAACCCTTCGTCAGGCTCAGGAAGCTGCAGCAGTTGGTGTGCGCTCTGAAAAGTAAACAAGCCAGGGGCTGGGCTGGGGAGTCAGTTGCCAGGCAGATTATAATGTATCAAAAATCCAATGTCTATGTTTAGTCCCTGATCTCTAGTATCCAGCAGGTTGATGAAATGGAGCTCATAGGCTCGTCTCTGGGATGTGTTGTGTAGGAGAGACCAGACAACAACTGCGCACCAGAATGAACGCACACCGGAAATCCATCAAAGACAGAAACACCCAATTACCGGTGGGGGCACATTTCTCACAGGAGGGCCACTCTCTCTCCAATCTCTCAGTCCTGATCCTCAAGGGAAATTTACACAACACATCCCAGAGACGAGCCTATGAGCTCCATTTCATCAACCTGCTGGATACTAGAGATCAGGGACTAAACATAGACATTGGATTTTTGATACATTACAATCTGCCTGGCAACTGACTCCCCAGCCCAGCCCCTGGCTTCTTTACTTTTCATTCCATCCAGGAAGAGCACACACCAACTGCTGCAGCTTCCTGAGCCTGACGAAGGGTTTTTGAACCCGAAAGCTTGCTTAATAACTATTCTCCAACCATTTGGGTTGGTCTAATAAAAGATATCAAATTCACCCAAGGAACCTTGTCTGCCTTGAAGGAAATTGAACGTTTTTCCCATGTTAAAAATAAAATTGTGTGTTTGTGGTGGGGGACCCATCATGCTTTTAGAAATTCTTACCACAAAAATACCATGTGTATTTGAATCCATGTGAAGAATTTTTCCTCATTGAACACTGGGGGAAAGGGGAGTGAGGAATAGCCTCGTCTAGGATTCTTGTGCTGGGCTGTACCAAGGCTGAAGATGCCATTGCCCCTGCTATTGGGTTGGGGCCAAGATGGTTTGTGCAATGAGGGAGGCCAGGTCGGGTGAGAGAGAGTGTCAGGGTGACAAGTGTGAGGGAGACTGCATGGCAGAAGGGGAGCGACTCTGGCTTCACCTCAGGCCATAGGCCAGAGCTTCTGTTGTCCCCAGGGCTCCAGTTAGGCTGAAGTTGGAGTCTGAGCCGTTACATAGGGTAAGCAGTGGAAGAGAGGTAAGGAGGAAAGTGGTTAGAGGATGTGTAGACAGGTAGTGGGGGGTAGAGGGGGTGCAGCCAAGGGGTGGGGCAGGTGGTTGGAGGTCAGGTTGCTTGCTGCCCTCAGTTGCTGCTTTCCCCATTGCAGCAGTTGGGGGTGGGGGGTGAATTTAAGATTGCCCTCCAATAATTAGATTCTATATGTGGAAAACTGTAACAAATTTATAATTTCCCATGCAGAAATCTAATTATTGGGGGGGGGCACGTGTCAGTCATTTTAAACTTGAAGTTGTCTTGGATTTCATTAAATATGGTAGGTAGTTTGAAACACAGCCTAGACATGGGTAGTCCATGAGAACCAGTGTTATGAGATGCTTTGAAGATTTGTTGGCTTCTTTGGAATTGATTGCTTGACCATTTCAATAGATAATATAGTGTTTTAAGGAAGAGTGCAAGGCTGACCTGCTAGGAGAGAGCATACTTAAATAGAATGAGATGCTTCAAGTTTGTGACATATTTGAATTGTGTAATCTGGAAGTGAAATGAAAGAACTTAATATGCTGGTGCACTCAGTGACTTTTTTGAAACTAGTGACCTGGCTAATATTTTTGGCCTGCATAATAGAAAGATCCACAGTTTGGGCTGGGGAACAATGGGAGAATATGGGGTAAGTAATAAGTAATACGATTCAGTGTTAGTTTTAAATGGGCTATCAGTTGTAATAGATGAGTATCATGGGCTAGATATCCTCATTTCAAATGTTATTGAGTAGTTATATGAAATTTTAGAGTAATGATATGAAAACAGCTTGACAGTATTTTTAGGAAGAGTCCTTAGTTTAAATGTTAACATTGGGGCTGTCCTGTCATATCAGGCCTATAGGAAAAGGAAACTTGTGACTTTGGTTGCTTAGTTAGTCCTTGGTCACGGAGATGCATCCTGGATGGTGGTTTTCTGCTCCTTGGGAAATGACCTTGGGTTGACAGTAGATCAGGATGTGTCCCCGGGCATGGATTTTGACACTTTTACACTGCTACTTGGAATCCTTATATTTGTGCATTCATTGCCTAGATCAGGGGCAGGCAGTTATTTTGGGCGGAGGGCCACTTACTGAGTTTTGGTAAACTTTCGATGGGTGCATGGGTAGCCACACCCCTTGGCAGGTCACTGTTTTGGGACTGGGAGTCCCACTCCTAACCTCTGACCTTTGCCACAGGAAGTCCCTCCCCTTTCCCCTGGAAGTACTCCTTTGGGAAAGATGGTTTGCCATCTTTGGGGGGAAAAAAACAAATTACGTACTAAAAATCCAACACCCATAATAATATATTTTAATTTAATTAAAAAATATATTTTTGTTCCGTTTTGTGGGCATTTGTGGTTTATATTCAGAAGTGATTGCATATGGGGGGTTGTGGGGATGTGTGTGTGCATGTGGGTATGGATGTGGGTATGGGAACCATGTGGCTGGGCAGGAAAGTGGGGAAAGCGGCGTGGGGGGGAGTTGGAAGCAAATGGGAGCTTGGGGCCTGCACCAGCATCCCAGGGCCAGCACCGGCAGGGCCTAGAGCAGGGTGGTAGGAGCACGAGGCGCGGGCTGGCAGGGGTCTGTGGAGCTGGGCTGGGCTGCATCAGCAGGGAGAGGGGGGAGCTGGCCCAGCTCCATAGAGCCCCTGCTGGCTGGGACCCCATGCTCCTACTGCCCTGCTCTGGGCCCTGTTGGCTCTGGTCCCGGGACAGTGGCACACACCCAACACTCCAACCCAGCTGCTGCTGGCTCCTGTGCTCCCGTTCACTACCAGTGCCCCCACTCGAGCCCCGCAGTACAAGTGGGGAGCTGCGTGCAGCCCTGACCCCACGCTCGCCTGCGAGGAATAAGCTGGTGCTCAGCATGGGAGAAAAGCACCCCCACCTTTGCAACCTGCGCCGGGCTGTCCTGCCTCTCCACCGCATCACCGCCACCCCATGGGGCAATGGTGGCAACAGAGAGCAGGTACAAGCAGCCCCACACGGGCTCTGAGCAGCTGCAGCACAGGTTGCTGGCCACAGGGAAGGGGAGAGACCACTTTTCCCTTGCAGTGAGCACCAGCTCATTCCCTGCTGCTGCTGCTAGCCTGGGCCCTGCTCCAGGCTTATCTATTGGGGCTGAGGTGCGGCTCCCCCCTCTCCCTGCTGGTGCAGCCCAGCCTGGCTGCAGAGACCCCTGCCAGCACATGCCCTGCACTCCTACTGCCCTGCTTTGGGCCCTGCCAGCGCTGGCCCCGGGACCCTGGCACAAGCCGCAC